AAATCTTTGCTCAATGTAGTTATAGATGATAAGACTTGTGAAGAAAGGCTTTGGAAGATGAAACATCGTGGCGAGACGAATTTCTATTTGTGTGAGATAAACAGAGATATGGTGATTGATGCCACTCATAAGGGAAATAAATCGAGATATATCAATCATAGTTGCAACCCTAATACGCAGATGCAGAAATGGTTTGTTGTCACCTTGATTGCTTGTTTTATGTTTCTGTATAGTTGAGCAAAGTCGTCATTTGGTTATTTTTTACCTGCTATTAGGATAATAGACGGCGAGACAAGAATCGGAATTTTTGCCACCTGTGACATAAAAAAGGGAGAGCATTTGACTTATGACTATCAGTAAGATGATTTCCTCCCTTCCCAGTTTGCATGAAAAACATATCTGTGTTTATGTTCATCTCCATGTTTCATAGCATATGCTTTCTCGAGTTATCATTTGCGTTGATTGAGTAAAGTAAGAGTTTCATAATTTATTAAGTTCTATAATCTGTTGAGTTATGACACTAAGAAATAGAGCAGGTTTGTTCAGTTTGGTGCAGATCAAGACTGCCATTGTGGGGCCATGGGTTGCAGAAGGAAGCTTGGGGTGAAACCTAGCAAACCTAAGTTAGCCTCGGATGAAGCTTTAAATCTTGTGGCATGTGAAGTGGCCCAGACACTGCCCAAGGTATTTTGAAATTTTATCTGAAAAGAAGATTCAAATATAGGGCTTGTCTTTGCCATGGCAAAGTAGATTTAGTGTGTTATGAGGTGTAGAGATTGATTTTGTCCCACTTTTGGTTAGGTGCATCAAAATGGAGGTATACATGAAGGTAAGTCTTTTCTGCTCTAGTTGAGAGAGAAGCTTTAGTGCGTTTTGGTTGTAAGGAAAGCAATTTGGATTCCCATGTTTCTCTAGGAAAATCATGGAACAATCTTAGACAAGGGCAAATATGTCCTCGCAATTGCATTGGTGTGGTGATCAGGTTATCTCGCTCCACGAGTGATAGGTACTTATTTACTTTCGTACTCGCGGATTAGTTTTGTGACTCAATACTATATCCTTTTCTCTAATGTGTGATTTGAGTTTTTTTCAGGTGTTTTGGCCTCATTAGACATTTTGATGAGTTTACAAGAAAGCACTCGGTATTACACTTAGCCAATACTTTTTCACTATTGAACTTGGCGAAATCATTCTCAGTTTACGCCTCTGTTAACATCTTTTTAACTTGGTCCAGGTGATGTTCGAGGATGGTGTTACCGAGTTTATCGACATGTCGAGAGAAGACTGGGAGATTGCAACTGTGTAATCCTTATTGTTTAACAGGTGATCCAAACTCATTGTCTGATTTCACTCCCTGTTAATGAAACAGTAGAAAAACTCCCAGAAGCAGAGAGTATGGAATATAACCCTTGTTGCTATGTTTCTGCAGATTTCTATGGACAAAAAAAAAGTTGAGAAACCCGAATACATTTGTATCGGTAAACTGAAGTAACCGGGAAAAAAGGCTTTCGGTGCAGTGACATTGTTGTTACATTTAACTTCTATTGTACCATTATATAGTGTCTGTAAGATATGTATCTACATGTAAGTTTCTTTCAAGATATTTGTGGTTTATATTTGACCTTGTTCTTTGTCGGTTATATTACAATTTACAAGTAAAAAAATCTCGAATTAGGACTTGGTTTTGTAAGAACCGGAAATCTCATATCCGGTTTAGCTATTCAAAAAACCGGTTTGTTCTGTTAACTCGGAGAGTTATTATTAGCACGTGCTGAAAAAAATCTATGGTCGTGCAGTGCTTCTCTGTGTCGGTGTCGCCGACAAAAGCCAAGTAAAAGAATCGCGAGTGAAACCCACGCGCCGGTGACCGGTGATTAATCGACGACTTGCGTGGTAGGTGGCGAAGTGTGGTTCTGGTTCACCAACCCAAAAGCCAGGGGTTGGGGAAAGATAACGACAAGTCTACTTTATGGTTTAGTTGGTAAATTCCTTTTAATAATTATGCAACTCATTTTGTTTAATTGAAAAAAAAATAAAATTTAAACCAGAGTATTATTATTAGTACCGAAATCAAGTATTAACTCTACTAATTTTCACTTAAATTTTTATTTAAACCGGATTATATTAAAAATGAAATTGGGTTAAGGAAGTCAGTGAACCTACCTAACTAGTTGGATCTTGTGTTAGTATAAAAACAGTGACCATAAGAAGCTGAAGAAACTTGCCTTTTCTCCATTTCGAAATCTGGATCAGAGCGATTCAAGCTCTGTTGAATCGGGAAGATGAAGGTGATTGATAAGATCCAGTCTCTTGCCGACGAAGGCAAAACGGCGTTTTCCTTCGAATTCTTCCCACCGAAGACAGAAGATGGAGTCGACAATCTCTTCGAGAGGATGGATCGTATGGTTGCTTATGGTCCAACTTTCTGCGATATCACTTGGGGAGCTGGTGGATCTACGGCTGATCTGACCCTCGATATCGCTTCGAGGATGCAAAACGTTGTTTGTGTTGAGAGTATGATGCATCTCACTTGTACGAACATGCCTGTGGAGAAGATTGATCATGCTCTTGAGACGATTAGATCTAATGGTATACAGAATGTGCTTGCTCTTAGAGGTGATCCACCTCATGGTTCGGATAAATTTGTTCAGGTTGAAGGTGGGTTTGGTTGTGCTTTGGATCTTGTGAATCATATAAGGAGCAAGTATGGTGATTACTTTGGAATCACTGTTGCTGGTTATCCTGGTAATCGTCTTCTCTCTCTCGATCTTGATCTCTTTGTGTTTAGTTTTGATTTGAGCTAAATTGGGTTTTTTTTCTTTGTGATTTTTAGAGGCTCATCCTGATGTTATTGGAGAAAATGGTCTTGCTACGAGTGAAGCTTATCAGAGTGATCTTGAGTACCTGAAGAAGAAGGTGCAGAATGTGGTTGTATTGATTTTTTTGTAGTGGTTTTTATGAATTGTGTATTTAAATTTTGGGTTTTTTTTTGGAATAGGTTGATGCTGGAGCAGATCTGATTGTTACTCAGCTTTTTTATGATACTGATATATTCCTCAAGTTTGTGAACGATTGTCGGCAAATTGGGATAAAGTGTCCCATTGTTCCTGGAATTATGCCCATTAATAACTACAGAGGATTCTTGCGTATGACTGGTTTCTGCAAGACTAAGGTAAATTTTTCATCTTTTTAGCTAAACATCAGTCCCTGCATATGAATAACCTTAAAGCTGATGTTATTAATGTTGGCTTTGCATAAAGGTGTTTGTTTGCAAGCTTAAGATTTTTCGCTTCTTATAGTTGTTCAGCTCAGGCGGTGTGGTGCTTTTTGTAGGAAAAAGAAGAATGAACATATGCTTTTGTATGATGGTGATACTCGCATACTAATGTAGATTTTAATGTTTCGCTCGATTTTGTAGATACCAGTTGAGGTCATGGCTGCCTTGGAGCCTATTAAGGATAATGAAGAAGCTGTGAAAGCCTATGGTATTCACCTCGGAACAGAAATGTGTAAAAAGATTTTGGCTCATGGAATCAAGTCTCTTCATCTCTACACACTGAACATGGAGAAATCCGCTCTTGCAATATTGATGGTTGGTCCTTATTTTCTACTACTGAAGTTTACGTAAATCATCACATGGATACTGGAGTATCCTAACTATTCTCGCTGGTGTTGCAGAATCTTGGTATGATTGATGAGTCCAAAATTTCTCGCTCTTTACCATGGAGACGTCCTGCAAATGTTTTCCGTACTAAGGAAGATGTCCGTCCCATTTTCTGGTAGCCGCGCTTAGTTTCTCTTGGTCTGATTTTGTCTAGTCACAGATCTTAATCCGCAGAGTATATAAGACTTGTGCTTCTAATCTTTTGAAGGGCAAACCGTCCAAAGAGCTACATTTCTAGAACTAAGGGCTGGGAAGACTTCCCACAAGGCCGGTGGGGTGATTCACGCAGTGCTTCATATGGTGCACTCTCGGATCACCAGGTACTGCTTCATCTCTAATTGCATAACTCTCTTTCAGAATTTCATAGCATATGGGTTTTGATGGAGATGTCATCGATTGGTCTTATTGATTTGCTTCAGATTGTTAAATGTAACATAATCGTCTGAGCTTCTGTTTACACTCTGAATACTGCTGAGCTAAATGCTTTTGTTGTCAGTTCTCACGTCCACGGGCACGTGACAAGAAGCTTCAACAAGAATGGGTTGTCCCACTGAAAAGTGTTGAAGATATTCAGGAGGTATAACATTTATTTCACTACTGCGCATAAACAATTGTTTCCTTCACTTAAAAATGGCATATGCTCACAATAATCTTGCAAAAACTGTCTCAAAACAGAAATTCAAGGAGTTCTGCCTTGGAAACTTGAAAAGCAGTCCATGGTCTGAATTAGACGGTCTCCAGCCAGAGACAAAGATCATAAACGAGCAACTGGTAAAAATCAACTCCAAAGGCTTCTTGACCATCAATAGCCAACCATCAGTCAACGCTGAGAAATCTGATTCCCCAACTGTTGGTGAGTATTCAGTTCCATTGAATCTCTGTTCTCATAACAAGCAGTGTTTCAGAGTCTTGTTCCCAGATTCATCTATCCTTTTGTTTGTGTACGATTTTCAGGATGGGGTGGTCCTGGTGGTTATGTATACCAAAAGGCTTATCTAGAGTTCTTCTGCTCAAAGGATAAGTTAGATGCAGTGGTTGAGAAATGCAAAGCTTTGCCATCTATAACTTACATCGCTGTGAGCAAAGGAGAAAGCTGGGTATCAAACACTGCTCAATCCGATGTGAATGCTGTTACTTGGGGAGTTTTCCCGGCTAAAGAAATCATTCAACCAACCATTGTCGATCCCGCTAGCTTCAATGTCTGGAAAGATGAAGCATTTGAGACTTGGTCAAGAAGCTGGGCTGGCTTGTACCCAGAAGCCGACCCTTCCAGAAACTTGCTCGAAGAGGTAAACTAAATGTTATAAAAAAGTCTTATTCTTGATCGGATCGGACTAGTTAGTTCTCTTGAAAATGGTTTTTAATGGCTAATGGACAATTTGATTTGAAATGCAGGTGAAGAACAGCTACTATTTGGTAAGTTTGGTAGAGAACGACTACATCAACGGTGACATATTCGCAGTCTTTGCTGGTCTTTGAGAAGATCCGGTAACAATGCTTTCGGCTTCCTACTGCTTTCACGATTTGCTTTTGTACTTCCTCTAAAATATTGGGATTTTGGTTTCCACATCTTGTTATCATTATCATATTGATTTGATTTGGCAATAATGTTATTGATAAAAAGCATCAGTTTCATTACCTAAAAGATCCAAAACATATCTTCTGCTCCATTAACTTAATCCTATGAAACACAAAGTTGTCTGAAAAAAACTCCCCATTGTTCTAACTTCTGAGCTACAATGTTGTTGTTCTAATAAAACTTAAAAAGATCAACATTACTTCTTTTGAGAGGCATGCAAGACTTCAAGAACCATCTCTTTGGGTTGAATGAGCCTCAGAGTGCAGGAATCTCCAACCGCCAAACCGTATTCTCTAGCCAGAATCCGCCATCCGCTGGAAAACAGTTTCTGGCTATCACTGTAAAAGTAGACCACCTCCCATGTCTGCCCCTTGGGATCATGTATGATAAACTTAGTAGTCTCCTTGGGCATATGTTCCTTTGCAAAAGATTGCGGTATTGTCTGATGAAATGAATAAGAAACACAAGTTTTATCATTAATCCAAAACCACAAATGGGTGACTGAGTATTGGTTAATCTTACTGCCAATACGAGACTTGATGGCTTGATGGTGAAACTGAATGTTGGAACC